CACTGCACCTGAACGAGCCTGTAACCGTGTCCTCCTCACAGTGAGAGGGCGTATCCGCGCTCCGAGAGGAGGCTGAGCCAGCGCAGAGTGGAGGCAGTGGGAGGGCTTTTTCTCTCTCTCTGTGTGTTTGTCGCTGGGCTTTGAAACATAGGAAGAAAAAAAAACAGAAAACAGAAACGGCGAGCAGCCGCGCCACCTGGAACAAGGCAAGCGCGCGCTCAAACACAGTTTCGCAACCGACGCCGCTCCGATTAACGTACAGGAGCGCAGGAGAGCAGACCACCAGCACGCCACGAGAACGGAGAGAGACTGCTGCTGTGGATCCGACAGGGGAACTAACAAAAGGTGAGCTGAGGATTCCTCCTCTGTCTTAAAATCTGGATTTATTGTATGGAGTCTGGCTGAAGGGCTGCAGAGCGTTGAGGAAACGCAACAAAGTTATTTCCGAGGGGAGGATTGCTTTTGGGGTTTTCTTTGTTTTGTTGTGAATAGAGGGAGCAGCATCTCTCCTCTTTTGGCTTTGTGTCTGCACACTTTTGGTACTCCGGCAGTCCTGGTTGTAATTCAGGTGCACTTTGATGAACTTGGAATATTTGATTTAGTTTTATTCCCCCTCCTTTTTCTTACCTGCCACCCTCTGTAGCTCAGTGTTTCTTTACAGTGGTGCACAGGCATTTGTATTGCTTTGTCTGAGTCAATATGCCCCTTTTGTTGTTTCACTGTCAGACACAGTCAGTTTAATGTCATTGTTGCCCATTGTTGGAGTGATTGGCTCTGGTTAAAAACCTTACTTACAAACAGGAATTAGTGGGGGTTTTTGTGTGGTTTACAGACAATTAGGAGTTTTATTTATTACTGCTGGCCCTGGAGTGGAATTGCAAAGTGCTAATGAAATGTAGGTGGCTTGTTTCCTCTCTCCAGTGTGTTTCTCAGATGCAGAAGTAGAACTGATAAGCGTGCCACATCCTCTCTGCCTGATACAGCTCCTGCAAATGCAACAAGAATTGGGTCCGATGAGGAGGATTTAAGGCCATATGATTGTAAATGTAAAGTTTTGGTTGCACTCTTGCGAATGCTGCATATTCACTACATTTCTATATATTCCTCCTCCTCCTCCATGAATTTGAAGAAGCTTGTAATCCCCCTGTTTGCTTAAAAGCCTGATTTGCTGCTGCTGGACTCCATCCAACATTTAGGATGTGTCAACTCTTACTTAATTCTCTGTTAACTTAATTGCCTGCAGGGTTACTGTGTTAGAATGAGACTTGATGTCGGTTTGATTTCTTGCTCTGCGAGCGGTAAACCTTTACTGCTTTGTGAGCGGTTTCCTCCTCGTCTGTCAAATCATTTCCTGATGGTTTTTTTTGTAGATGTCGATCTATCAACTGAGTTATTTATGGCCGTTGTATGTGTGTTTTAAAGCAGTGTGAATGGCAACCTACCACCTAATGTCTGTTTCGGTCTCACCGCAGCAGCCTTCAGGATGATATATGCTGTAGATTTATTGAGTTCGTACAACAACACCACAATGCATGTTGGCTCAGATTGGTTGGTTAATCAACTGACAGAAAGCATATTGACAACCATTGTCCCTTGTCTCTGTTTCACATGAGTGTTAACTGAATACCTTCGGGGGTTTGGTGTGTTGTTTGGACAAAACCAGGAATTTGAAGATTGTGATCAGGCCAAAATGAAACCTGTTTGGGGACCTTTGGGGCAAAATTTGCTACTGAGTCCTTAATTCCCCCCCACTTCCTGCTATTGTTGTGCAGCATGCATGGTCTCTGATGACCCCAGGTATCTTGTAAGATAATTTTATTAAACACAATTAACTTTAGGAATATGCAACATGTCAGCACAAGATGAAGAAACTGATCTGTTAAAACCTTTCTAGCAAGTATCAGTGTGCCGTTTGGCGCCCCCAGCTGTCAGAAATATAGTGCAACAACACAAGACATAGCAAACCAGCTAATATCGCTTACTAGTCCACCAGCATGAAGGCCAGCTTGCTGTCTGTCTGGCGGCTCTTCTCATCTTCCTCTGCCAACATCCTCCAGTATCCAGAGGACAACAGAAAGCATTTTCTACATGAAATATGATCCAGTTTCACCAAAATCAGTGACATAGTTGGTGGGTGACTTCTCCCAACCCGACAACCAAAGTCACATATTGCAAAAACAGGCGTTCGGTGCTCGGACTGGCAATGACAGAGGCACCATTCACCC